TATGTTACTTATAGTTAGTATCACGATACATATAGTTTTTGTAATCATCACTATTATATACTATTATATATTTTATTGTGATTGTATAAATAGTTTTAATAAATTGCTAAGTAAATTACATTTTGATTTTCGGAATTCGTCAATCATCATACAGACAGCTATATTCAATATGTTACTTATAGTTAGTATCACGATACATATAGTTTTTGTAATCATCACTATTATATACTATTATATATTTTATTGTGATTCTATAAATAGTTTTAATAAATTGCTAAGTAAATTACATTTTGATTTTCGGAATTCGTCAATCATCATACAGATAGCAAGTAGATAAGATGTAGACATGTAAACACATTCTTCATTTGAATACTAACAACATAAGTCATAAAAAGGAAATAATACACAATATTTATTTATTTATATATTTTTATATGTATATATTTATGCATATGTCTTTATTTAAGTGCGAGTATTTGTATCTATAAATGTTAGGTATGTTATATTATATATATACGTATATTTAAATAATATCACCTACACCTATCAAGGTTCATCTCTGCATTCCCTAAGGTAGACTGTCAGAGAATGCCTATGGCATTAAGACCGCCTTTATACTGTCAAGTATAGAAAGTTAAAAATAAATAAATAAATAATAAAACGAATTTTTTATAACAAAGCTGTTTCACATTTATGTATATATCCTACAATCAGCATTATTACTATAACAGCAAGTGTAATATTAGTAAAACCAATTAAGCTCCACAATGCTCTCTTTGAAATATCAAACGTGTACTATGTATTTGTATTTAAATTATACAAAACGATGCTTTTATGGGTTTTGATAAAGGCTTACGTAGCCCTAAATTGTGCACGTGATGTGGCTTAACGCAGATTAGAGAAAGTGGGTTCGTCGTGTAGTGTTGCTTATAGAATGTTTTCTTTTTATTCGTATGTTGGTTATGTTTTTGAAGGTGGTGTATTTGTTGGCGAGAGGCTATATGAGGCCGTTAGCATAAAAGTGGCCTATCCTACATTTTTCATATTCGTGGGTCTACTATATTGCAATTTATTTAAAACATAATAAATTTTGATGCAAAACCGGCCTATCCCTATTTCCGTCCATAGATTATACACTTAATATTTGAAAGTTTCGCCCATAGATAACAGTTGGCTTTGTCAACATTATTTTTGCGCGTTTTGTTTTTGCCTATGAGGCAGTGTAAAAGTAAATTCAGACCTCATTGTCTCCATACTTACTATAGTAAGCTCAGGTAAGCTTAGGCCACTACTGCGCTGACGGCCTCATATATAAACAGCTTCTTCAGTAATGAAGTTATTTTGTTTCTCTGATTAGATTTCTTATAGCCTAATCCACTGTGATAATAGGTCTAGTTCAGTTTAAATAGACCATAAAATTGAAATAAAACGTAGAAAGTTTAAAATAAACGTTTCAGGCCTATCACCAACCAACCTCTCTTTTCTCAAAATTTATAGGTTATGTACACGTTTTTCAATTAAATATTTATCCTTTATCTGTGAGAGATAGAGGGAGCCCCTATGCGAAATAGACAGAGTGGGGACACAGCTGTTAATGCCACAAAACAGTCATGACTTTTAGTTTGAAGGTTATTTTAATACACTCGAGACTTAAGTCTCTTGTCTCGGCAATAGGTAAATCTTTCTGCATGATTCTGAATAGCGATCTTATTCGGCGAGCACAGAAGATGGGGTTAATCAATATGCGAGGCGATCAATACGATGTCAAGTACGAGGCATAATGATGTTAATTTTTAATTCCATCTTCCTCATACTCGTTTTATATTGCTGCGGTATGAACAAGACAGAAGGTTAATTCATCTTAAGGAGCAAGTGGGTTGTAAGTGGGCTGCGAAGCGTTATTAAATATTTTAATGATGTCAAGAATAATGTAAGAGTAAGCAAATGAAAAACCAATATTGTTTAACAAAAATAATAGTAATTATGCTATTTTATTTAAGTAATTCCGATCAATCATTATCTAAATATAGAGAACGAGAAGGTGGTAGTGCCCTTAAGATAATATTATTGAGATACAAGTACTGTTATTACGTAGCATAGCATTAAGACTAATTTAATTTATCAGGGTCCTTACGGTTTGCTGGATACATTAATAATATTAATATCATGTACCTATATATTTTGTGGATTTTAACTTTTAAATACTCATGTATGTTCGTATTTTCGATTAGATTCGACTGGGAAGTAAACTAATTTTTAAGCCAAGCGTTTGGAGTAAATTAGAAAAAGTACAAAAATAATTTTAGATATTTATTGTTATACATATATCGAAGCGTGAAATTCTATTTGGTTAAAGTGATTTTTTTTTAAATTTACAGGAGAACAATTTAAAGTATAAAATTTAGAAAAATATCTTAACAAAAAACTTCTTCAACTATTTGAATGGGGTAAACTTAATTAAAGTTCAATTAAAACATACAATTGTTGATACTAATACCAAACATCTTTTTTACCTATACCAGAAGACCTTTAATAAAAAAGATATATGTCGCGTATTAAGCAAAATGTTGCTTAAACTAAATATCTTTTCACTCCTCGATATAGTTTGTAGTTCATAAGCTGAATTAAGTGGTAGTACCAAGAATTAAGTTTAAATACCTGTTATTATTATTATAACAGGTATTTAGACGTATAATAGGTAGCGTAGGTAGATAGCGCATTGCGTGCGGGGTAATGTACCTTTCAGGGTCTTTGCGTTGGCAACATCATTGGTTTGTTTGTATGATGAAACGTTTTTAACATTTTAAATTGTTTACTATTCGATCGAATCTTCAAATGTATGTTCTGTTACTTTGAATGCGCATCGACTTTTAAATGCCTTATTATTGAACGCTATTTATTATTCAAAATGAGGTCATTAATGAGTACATTTTTATTATTGTATCTGTATTTAATTGAAAACTTTGAGGGCCACGTTATGATTGATATCGACGAACCTTGAATTAAAATCTAGTAACACGTGTCCAAATTAGATTTACTGGTTACAATTAGATATGTGATAAATAGTAGATGTGAAATTTGTTATGATCAAGTTATGGTGATAGTAAATATCATTATTTTTGTCATTCCAGTTCTATTCTTCTTTCCGTTTTTATAGGACTAAGGGGCATAATTGCGTTTGTATTTTTCATTTGACTTTTTTTGTTGTTGCTTAGATGCGTGGACGAGCTCACAGCCCACCTGGTGTTAAGTGGTTACTGGAGCCCATAGACATCTACAACGTAAATGCGCCACCCACCTTGAGATAAGTTCTAAAGTCTCAATTATAGTTATAGTTTTCAGTTTTACGACCACCTGTCTCACGTCAGTCCTACTATGGACCCCTATTCCTTTAATTGCCGCGTGAGGACTACATGCTGAGTTAATTAATGGAAGCATTTAATTACAAGTAACAATTTGGAAATACTACAACTACAAATATAAGACAGGAAATTGATAGCTATTAGTCTACTCAATTACCACCGGATAGATTATTCTTGGAGCAAAATTATTATCAAAATTAAAATCAGATTTTTTTTTATTAGGTAGATAAAATTGATAATTCATATTTTAAAGATTCAAAATAAAATCCATTCAAAGCAAAGTTCTACGATTTTAGTTTAAAAGAAAAAGAATATCTCGGATATTACTGTTATAGACACTTTGTATTAACAATGTATAGGAAGATAATACCGTTATGAGTCACACGGGTCAAATTACGCTATATTACTTGGATGGAAACTTAGTCAAGAGTTGCGATTAAGTTTTTGCGGTGAGCAACCTTGTTTTCCGTGTGATAGGTCAGTGACTGGCTAATTGATATAACGGGTAGCTTTGAAATAAACAATGTAATTTTAGCTCACGTTGCTAATCTTTTTTTTGTATCACGTCAGTTTTTTTTAAATATACACAAAGTGATTACGTAATTTTTATTAGTATTCGTAATATGTACATAAAGTCTGACGCTATGTGATGAGGGCGAACCACGTTTTTCGGACTTTTTAACTTTTATTACTACTACTACTCTGCGTTTTGATAAACAATTAGAATTTTTCTAATTTCCAATTTTTGGGAGAAAGTTTGGTGTATATATATAAAAGCGTGTGCATGTATTGTACGTTTTTTTGGAGCTTTATACTATCTTCAATCAGTATTTATTCTATAGGCAGGTGAGGGGAAATTCCATTCTTCTCTTACCCCCCCTATATATAACATGAATATATTATTAAGAATGTATGCATAGTTTTGAAAAATAGCTATTTTAGGTGAACTTTATTTTAGTGCTAGCTTTAGATTATAGTTATTCACCTGTACTCAAATCAGTCTGACAGATGAAAAAACGACCCACCGGTCTTGAGAACTATAGTCACTCATTAAAAATCTTAATATGTATATTGTAAATAGGGTACACATTCATCAACTAACAAAATAACAACATAATAAATTGTAAAAACTGTACAAAAAAATTGTACAGCCAATCCTTTTAAGCTGACTTTATTAAAAGAAGTTTCAATGGAAACCGCTTTAACGATCCTGTATTTTGAGTAAATTTAAGCCTACGTTGGTAAAATTATGTTACTAAGTTTATTTTCATTTATTTTAACGTTACAAATATAAAAAAAAAACCAAAATATTATTTTCCGTTTCAACTGCGTGTACCTATATACTTATATTTAAAATATTTAATTTAAGCTATATACGAATAAGCTGTTCAATTTACTGCAAGTTGTGACTTTGCGTAGAAAACAATAGGTACGTTAGAAAGTCACGATCGCTTCATTTAAAAAATATTAAGAAAGAGAGTCTACTACTAACTACTACTACACTACAAAAGAATCCTTCAATCATAAAAAAAAAACTACAAAAGAAAGCACCTTTTATTATTTTTGGGCAATCGTTTTTGAAATAGCCGTTTCCGATTTATTTTTTAATGTTGACGAAAAATATTTGAAATGACAAACCTTTCTTGATTTTTCTTGTTCTCTTTTCACACATGTTGTCAATAAACAAAATCACAACACTAACAAAAAGGAATAAACTTTATTGAATGTTAACCGAATGTAAAGATCACGCACGAACGTTCTGCATGAAGTCTGAACGGAGAATGGTTTGTTACCGCTCCGTTTGTTTGAATATCGAACGCCCGGCTTATAGCATTTAGCAGCTCCATCGAAGAGCGAGACAGAAAATTGTGTTGTCGATCTGTGATTCATTTTACCCCAAATTTTGAAAAGTCATCTAAGTTAAAAAAATCTGTAACTAACACCATCAACAGGACAAGGTTAAATAAATAATTTTCTTTTCGTCGTATTAACAATCTTTGTCTTCTCAGAAATAGTTTTTCTCATAAACATGTGCTCATAAATAATAAAAAAGACAAAGAACGTGCTATTTATGTATTAAAATTATGTGTTAATTACATCGAAGTAATAATTATAAAGATTAAAGATAATTATTACTATTGCAATAGGTTACTTGACAGATTACCATACCATACATGACATGCCAAGACCATAATTTACCCGAAAAATAGGGAAAATTTTATCAAGGGAGCTTCAAATTCCCGGGCCGATTCCTTTGACTCGCATGGTCCAACACGTGTTGACGCCCCAGTTTGGCGGCGGACTATCTGTCGCACGTGGAGTTACGACACGACGCGACGCTAAAGATTAATAATGGTGATTCCATTTACAATTGAAATAAATATATATTTTTTTTAAAACGTGATGGCACTGATATCCTTGCCTTCATGTCACTTTTCAGAGGACACAAGCAGAAAATTTTGGAACAGTAAGAAAATAATGTTAAAAACTTGCTATAGGAATCAATTTATAAATACAAATATTAATCACGGATATTAGAAAATCACACACACGAAATAAGGGGGCATGTATGTCTAATCTATATATATATAAAAATGAATTGCTGTTCGTTAGTCTCGTTAAAACTCGAGAACGGCTGGACCGATTTGGCTAATTTTGGTCTTGAATTATTTGTAGAAGTCCAGAGAAGGTTTAAAAGGTAGATAAATATCAAAATTCCTTTTGTTTGTTTTAAGTTTATTTTATACAAAAGTTTAGGTCTTTTATTTATCGATTGAGGCACTACGAAGTCTGCCGGGTCAGCTAGTCTTCAATAAAAACTTGGCATACCTTGATTTTTTACATTGTATTAATGATTAAAAAAATAATCAATGGGTTTTAAAGTTTACAAACACTGAAAGTTAAAATTTGTTCGATATATATACGAGTATGTGTATGTAAATATGTAATTGTTATACATCGGGCTTAAATTATGTAATTTTAGGCAGGTAACTAATACCTGTTTTCAATGAATGTTGTGTTTTAACCGTTTTGATAAAAGTTGACTGTTGAGTTTTATTTATTATTAATTTTCAAAGTCTTTCTTACTAATTCTCTAAATGTCTTCGAGTATTTTGTTTTTTAATTTCAAATGCTTAACCATCCACACGACACAACAAGAATGAATTCATCGTTGTTGCTTAATAAAGCAGTTGTTACATACATTATACGTAACTAAGTTATACTCGTAGTCTTATTTAGGATTAGTTTAGTTATTATTACGTTTAGTCTAGTCACTACAGTTTAAAAACCGTAGCTCAACTTCAGTTTGTTGGAGGTTCGTATATGCATTGATGTAGCTATCCAAACTATCCTTTAAACTGGAATATTTTAATTGCTTTTAGTCAAAAAGACTAAAGACCACGGAACGTACGTAATTTTTTTCTTTCGAAATTCCTTTCCTAAGCGTCTTTAAGTCGGATCGTCAAAAATAATAATTTAAGCTTTTAAAATGTCTTAGGGCATAATAAATATCGAAATTCAAATCACATTAGAATTAACCGACCTTTTTTTAATACCATACAGCCAACAGCTATTATATACATTATTCTATATTCGATTAAGGAAAACCAGACGCGTACAATAATTAGAATTATTTTTGTGAAAACTACCGAGTCCACTGTACAAAATCGTTCGTAGCTCCACGGAAAGCGCACGTTGCAGGTGACGTATGAATTGAAAAGGAACGTTCAACGTGGTCCCTGAGTCATGCACGTTGAACATACATGCATACACATCGCACATACGGTGCTATAAAGTCACTTATGCAATTTTTGTTAACACTGAACTGAGTAGGTATGAGAAAATAAATTTTTTAATAGTTATTAGTGAGACGAGAGAGACGTTTGCTTTTACTGATGAATTATAAAGTTTTAGTTTAAATATTATCATTTTGATGTAAAACATCTATAGCCGCACGTAAAACCGATTTCTGGCGTGGCGACGCATGCCGTGGCGACGCGTCGCCATGCGCAATCGACTGTGCGATTCTCTCCCACTCGATCCGGCGTTAAGCCATCTCTCTCGCTACACCGAGCTCGGATACCTATAGTGTATACTCCTTAGTGTATACAGTGTTGTTTACTACAGTACACATAACCTGTGTTTTACTTGAAAACAAATTATTTTTTCGTAATATTTTATTTTATCATTATGACATATTTAGTTCCTATCACAATCTGTTCTTTTCTGCATATTACTTTTACAAAATAATGTCGATGTTTCACATCTGCCAGGCATCCCGTGACGGCTCACATTTATTTATTTATTTCTATAGTCTAGAACTATATAAGAATTATATAATTAGATGTTGAATTTTTCAACGTTTCTCCTGAAAAATTTGCATAAGTGACGTTATTGGATCGTATGTGCGACAGTGTATGTACATTGTCGTTATGTAATTCAATTATTTCACAAAATCCTGAGAAATGATATTCTTAATACATATAAATGCTTAAAACGAACAAAAAGCAAGGAATATTGTATATTTGCATACAAATCTAATGAAATATATTAATTGGCTTCCAGACTCACCTGGTTACGCTAGTATAAACCCCTAGGTTACCAGCTTAGGTAGGAAAAGACAAAAAGTGTCCAGATTTACAAAATTATCGGATGATTAAAGAAAAAAGGTTGTAACACTCGGAAAACCTTATTTTTAATTATTGCAATCGATAATTAAATTTCATCAAAATGGAAATATACTTTTTACTGTGTATTCGCGTGGGTAATTATGAAAGAATTTAAAAGTACATGTTTCATCGTCATTACCACATTATAAAAGTCATCGTTAAAAGCGCATTTAAAGATATCACATATGCTTAAGTGGCTTTTTCCTAATTGCATGTTTTACCGTATTTTAGTGGAATTTACATTTCAAATAACATCTAAATACTCTCAACAGTCAAAATGGCTGTAATCGGACAAACAGATGAATTCGACGAAATTTTAAGTACGACATTTAGGACAATTTATTTAACAACTAGATGACCCGGCAGACTTCGTAGTGCCTCAATATATAAATAGAAGACCTAAACATTTGTATAAAATAAACTTAAAACAAACAAAAGGAATCCGTCCGACCGGGGACACATCAAAGGGAAAACAAAATTGTTATTTTTATTTAATTTCGAGCATTTTCATATTCATCTACCTTTTAAACCTTCTCTAGACTTCCACAAATAATTCAAGACCAATATTAGCCAAATCAATCGGTCCAGCCGTTCTCGAGTTTTAGCGAGACTAACAGACAACAATTCATTTTTATATATATAGATTGGTTTTAAAAATAGTCAAGACAAGGTATTCATTTCTACAGCTCCAACAGAATTGCCCAGATTAGCCATTGGAAAAGTCGCAATATTTAATTTTAGCGATTTTACATTAGTTTAGGTGAAATGTATTTAATGTATAGTAAAAAAATAGTGCATGGATATTTGTCGAGAACTTTTTTTGGAAAAACAAGAGAACGGTTATGACAAACAATATCGAAAGTTTTTATTCATAGCACAATGTGAGACTACAAACGTGATTAACATAATTTTCATGGCTGTCTGGTGGCCGAGCTTGAGTAACATGTATTATTTATAACGCTATGAAAATAAAACTAAACGAATTATTCAATTATTAATAATTAGGTACCTACACTTTTCAAGACTTATTTAATTGATTGAGATAGAGATGGAGCGAAAGAGAGAGAGAGAGAGAGAAATACAGAGAGAGAAAGAGATAGTATGCTATATTGCACACCAAACAAGCGTTGAAAATACGTCAACAGGTTTTTTTTCTCCTACCTATGCTGATAGCCTTGAGAGGCTATTTCAGCTTCACCCTAACGTTTGTAGCTGAGCTCACGGGGCTCAAACAGGAGAGTTGCTAACAGTGACCCTTGCAAGAGCAGTGTTTCGCAAAATCTACGACCGGATCGGAAACGCGACCCACTGAGAAGATCCGGCGAGAAACTCAGTGGGCTGTGTCTATGAGTAATCAACAGGTAAGCTCGATTTGTGCAATAGGCTAAAAGTGATCTCTTCCAAACAATCGATGTTCTCTAGGAAAATTCTGAAAAGGTACGACAGGTAAGTCACATTAAGCTGTTTTATTACTTTCTTCGACTGCAAAACATCTATTTACAATAAATACATAAGGTTTTGGGTTTTGTCAGCCCGCTCGGGTAGGTACGACTATCCTACCTATTTCTGCCATGAAGAAGCAGTAAGGCATTTCAATATAAAACTGAGATTTTAGAGCTTATATCTCAATATGGGTGGCGAAATTTTCACTGTTGATGTCTATGGGCTCCGGTAAAAACCAGGTGGGATCGTCCACTACTTTAAGGAAATTTAAAAAAACATTAGAACATTTTTACTTATGTCCCTATGCTGTTTTTTCATTGTAGAACGCGAACAGTTATTGAATCTAATTGCGCATTTATTTAGAAAAAACTAACTTTCTAAATTCTTGAAATCATACTTTTGTCTGCGATATACAGCATCTAGAACTGTCTCAGACCTGAACGACACCCAATTTTCAGCTCTGATTGACAATTTCCGATTGAAAGATTGGTTAATTGACGGTCGGTACTGCGAGTCTGCCGGCAATAGCTATGTCGAAGATCAATTCACTTGGTTTTAAGGTCGGGTGCTCCATTGAAAAGCAAATTTTATTATGGATTTCCTATTTGACAATGTTTAAATTTATCTTGCTAAATAACAACAAACTAACGCTTGATATGTCAAATGAAAAAGACGGG